TCAGCAGCCCAGGTGCTGTGCAGCACTGGGGCTGGCACAAAAAACAGTCTGCACTCTGAGTTGCCAAACTCTGTCTTAAAGACCCCAGTCTTCCCACTATTTATGAGTTCAGCTTTTTCTAAATGTATTAAACACAATGGAAAAGTGGCGGCAGGATTTGGGATTATAGTCTGAGAGAAGCAGCAGCTTCATTTTACTGGAAAATAGCAAAAGCTATTTATAAAAATCTATTTTTTTCCATGAAAAGATCAGTTTTTTTCTCAGATACTTTCAAAATTATTCAGGACTTTTTTTTTTTTTTTGTCTAAAAGCATTGCAAAGGAGCTTCAAAATCTTTTGTGGAAATAAGCCCAGTGATATTCTGCAGACAAACCCACTGCAGTCTGCCCTAAAATCAAACAGAAGATCTGGAAGGTAATAATAATTGTTAGCTTTTCCAAACCCCCTTTCACATGGGGGCTGGAAAATAATTCTCAAAAGTCTTTAAAACGGCCGACAAGATCTCTGGTCTCTGCTTTACCGGGAGATGCTGTGAGTGGCCTCGGGCACAGAGCTGCGTGCAGCAGCCCTAGTAACCCAGCTTGCAGGCTCCGGTCCTGTGGGCATAGGCACAGACACGCTGCTGACCCCATGGGACCATTGGCAGTGCCCAAATTTAATTGAGTGCTTAAACATCTGCGAAGGGGGCAATGACAAGAAGAACTCCTAAAAGGAGGGGTTTTGCTCCCTGCTCCGTGATGCTTGAGCTTGCTGGGTCAGCCTTCACTGGGAAGGATGTTTCTTCTCTGGCCATCCCCTGGTTTCTTCTGCAGCTGCTGACAGCCACCTGGGCTTGCTCATGCAGCCAGGGTCAGCCCTGGCTATTAATCTTCTGAAAAGCTTCCCTCTCTCTTGTGTAAACACTGCCCCCTCCTTCCCTCCGCTCTTCACTCCTGTTTGTGCAAACTCGCCTTCGGCATTTCCTTGCACCAAAGGGACAGAGCGAAGCTCCTCTCCTCCCTCCCCCACTGAAAAAAAAAGAGACATAACCCCCAAAATGGCAGGTTTGCAGAAAAGACATGCGTAGCCTTGGGAACCAGAGGGATGGACATCAGCTTAGACAGTGCTGAGGGGCTGTGCTGGCTTGGTGCTTCCACTGGGGCCGGGTTTGCAGAGGGGCACAGGCAAGCAACCAGTTTTCAAACAGCATTCGGCTGCTCTCCCTTGCTCCCCGGGAACTTTTCTGATAGCCTGAGCACACATTTGTGGCTGGGGCCACAAATACCGGAGCGATTCTGCCTTGGGCATCATCAACACTGCAGCTCGCCTGAAGCCCTGATCTGGGACTCAGCAGATCCGTGGTCCTGTCCTGGCTCTGCATCAAATTTCCTGAGCATTGTCTTGGGGCATCCACAAGCTACTGCTTGCTACACATGCAGCAGAAAATAACCCAGCCTGGGCTGCAATGTTCTAGACCAACACTGTATCGTGCTCAGCAGTCTAAGGGGATGCTGAAGTGTGGCAGGAGCTGGGCTGTGCTCAAACTTGTGGCTGAGCGGCCTTTTTTGGTGTGCACCCCCTGCTACCCTCCCCGGTGAGCTGATGAGGGCACATGTTTTTCCTAAACCCTCAGCTCCTGCAGTCAGTTCAATATGAGACACCCGAATCTCAGAGAAATGCCCCATCTTTCAAGCTACCAGGATCACGGAGGAGGCTAAGCATCTCCTGACACCTCCTAAGAGCCCGGAAAGGCAAAGAAAAGACTAACCATTTATTACGTATTTTGAATCTCTGAGTTTTAAACTGATCTGTGGGTCACACATCCTAATTCCCATTCCCAGATGACGTGACTGCCCTGCATCCCAAAAACATCTGTGAAGCCACTTCCTCAGGCCGATGCTTGCAACATGGCTGCCCACCTAGGACCCCCATCTGGGAGGCGATTCTCCTTGCGAATGCAAGGAAAGAAATAGGGAAAACAACCAACAATCCTTGTGCGCAGCCAGCCTGCATCTGGTGCCGTCAGCTGTGTGCCCTTGGAGGGCTGCAGCTCCGTACAGCAGTAGGGTATTCACAGGCAGGGAGCCAGAGTCATGCAAGTGCATGTGACTGGCTCAAAGCTGTAGGGGAACATGAGGATCCAGGCCAGAACTTGAGCCAGTGTCCTAATCTTTGGGTCTTCATGCCTTCCTCATCCAGTGATCTGTTCAGGCTGGCTCCTACTGATTTCTTTTCTATGGGGCTGCGTACAAACATAGGACAAACAGCAACGGAGTTTGAAACACCTCTGGTCCAAACAAGTTAGGGCCAGCTCCGATGCAAAAGAATACCACGGACTTTTTGGTTTTGATGTGCTGCTTGTCCTTTGCTCACCTGCGTGCGGCCCCAGAGACCAGGCAGGCAGCGGGTCGCTCCTGCTGGAGACACAGAGCTGCTCCTTCTTCCTCTCCATCTCGCAGTGATGCCCTGAGAGACCGCTTTGTACAAGGGTGCTCCTAAGCACGTGGCAAAGGTGTCTTTCCTGTAACGGAGGATAAGGCTTCAAGTGCCATTTGGGAGCAGTCAGAGGAAAGAAGATGCAATAACTGGAGGGAGAGAAGGACAGTATCAGGCTGGGGCTCGTTCACGCTAGGTTTGGGTTTTTTTGCATCTCTCTCACCCTTATTTTCCTTCTTGCTGTGTTTCAGCTATGACTTTAAGCCATCCGGGACTTCAGAGCTGGAGGAGGATGAGGGGTTCAGTGACTGGTCCCAGAAGCTTGAGCAGCGCAAACAGAGGTGTGTAGGACACAGCCGGACTGAGGGGAGGGGAACCAACATCCCCAGCAAAAGGACTGTCCCCGAGAAGGGGCAGGATGGGTCCCGCATTGCTGGGATGGATGCTCTCTGCCTGCCATTTAGGCTAGCGGAGAGGAACAGGCTCAGGGACTGCCCCAGGCTTCGGGGATGTTTGGATTAAGCTTTGCACTCCAAGCAATGGCAGCCTGCCAGGACGCCTAGGTTTGGAGGAGTGACAACAGCGGATTTAAGCCACCTGAGCTGCTGCAGGGGCTGAAATGGCCTCTAACATAATCCAGGCCAGCCTAAAAAGCTGTTCTAAGTTATTGCTGCTTCCTGGCTCATGGCAGCACACTGGGTGTTATAGCCCCAGCCCACCTTGTGCTTGACTCTTCTTTCAGTGGGGGAAAACAGGCAGCAAAGAGCCCTGAGATGTGCTTGTGTGCTGGCTGTTTAGTCCCCATCTCCCATCACTCTCCCCTTGCCAAGCTGAACCAAACTCCTGCCTTAGCCATTTCCCTTGGACACCATCTACCTGCATATGAACTCTATGACTTATCTCTCTCAGCGGCTTGATTTTATAGGGAATTTTACCCTGTGATGACACAGCCTCTTCTTTACCCCCGAGACTGAAAAAATGCCTAAGATTACTATTTACTGCTGAACAAATAAATAGAGCTCGCCTCTTTCTTACTTTTTTCCAAACACTGTAGCTAAACCACTCTGCAAGCTGTACGTTTGTAGCCCAGCCTCTACAAACATTGCTCAAGCACCTTGCTGTAGCACTGTTATCATATCTATTAGAGCAATTAGAAATCAGCCCCATCTGCTTTCTGGCACGCTGCCTCTTTTTCCACCCCCTTGCAAAGAGCTTGTCCGGAGAGAAAGGCAGCTGCTGCTATTCCCTTCTTGGCCTTCAAAAGAGAATTAGCTGGAAGTGTTGCATTATCCTCTCCAGAAATTGCTCCTTGGGTTTTTATGTGATGCTTGTGTTTATTCTGTAGTGGGGCAGGAAGGTGCTGAGCAGGGGAGGTGGCACCCGTGGCAGGTGAAGCCCATCAGAGAGGGGTGGTGCTTTAAAGGCAGCGGCTGTAGGTGAGTAGGCCTTGGGCTGGAGGCTGGCTGGGAGAGGCAGCTGAAGGGGATCGCACCCTGTGGGCTTGCTGGGAGTGGGCTTTTTGCAAAAGCAGGTGGCTGTGTCCTGTAAAGTCCCTTCAGCAGCTTTTCCCTTCCTCCTTGCTTACTTGCCTCACCCAAAGGACAAGCTTGGAGTGCGGTGTGATCCCAGGTAGGCTGTGTGTCTGGCTAGGATGCCCCATGCTGGGACAAGCAGTGCTCTGGCCAGGGTTTCCCAGCTCCCCTCTCTCCTGCTTAACTGAATATGGAACAAACCCTGTTTTTTCATGTGAAGGGTGTTTAGGCAGTGGCTATGACTGAGGGGATGGAGACAGTTGCTCTCCCTTGGATGGAGCTAAAATGGTTTGTGCATTCCCTGAGGGCCTTGGTGCTAAGGCACGTTTTCTTCTTGGTTCTGGTTCCCCACTTTGTGGGGGCAGATCCATGCCCCCACAGCTATCAGCTGCATGCAAGAGGGTGGGAGCTGGGTCAGACTAGCTGCCTCCCATACAAAATTGCTGTGGTGCAAAAGGCATCCTATAGACTGCATCATATCTGCTGGTCTAAATTTTTAATATGAGCTTGCACTTTAGCTGGAGGCATTGCTGGCATCCTGGTTAAGAGAAACTAGTTACCCGGGCTATAAAACCTTCAGAGCCTGTTTGCTGTTGGTGACTGTGCTGTCGTGGGAGGATGATTAGTAGCAAGCCAAGCGAGCCAGCGTATGCATCGGCCTTTTCCCTATGTGCGCAGTTGGGAGGGCTGGACGGTAGCTGTCCTGTGAGTTGCCTTCCCAGCAGCAGAGATGTGGGTGGAAAAGCATTGCTTGAACTTTTTTCATGTTTTGGTGCTGGCTGGTGAGGCAGAAGCGGTGAACCAGCCTTGTACTTTGGCAGCTGCCCACTAGCAAGCTCTCTAGCCTTGCTGTCACAAGCCAGGTGATTTTCTAAGAAATGGGTGGGAAGAGAAAGCTATTCTCTGTCTGGGGAAAGTAATATGGCAATAACATCTTGGTGTATGGCTGTGAGCCAGTGAGAGCTTTGGGGTTATGTGCTCCCACCGAGTCTGTGCCCAAAAGCACGGGCTGCTCTGCTTTTGCAAAGCTGATTGCTTAAACATACTCCTGGGTTTCCTCTCTGCAGCCTCGGAGGCCTGGAGGAATCCTCTTGTACAAACCCTGTTGTGGTTTTTTAAACCTAAGCCAAGGGGTGACCCTGGCTGCTTTGGGACTCCTTTGTTTTGCTGGGCTATGACATGAGTGTCATGAGTAGAGGTGTCATTTATTCTGGTGAGTAAAATTGAGGCTCAGGGTCAGGTGTGGATATAGCATTGCCTGTGAAGCACTGTGCCTTGCAAACAAAAAACAAACAACCCACGTGAGTGGCTGTGCAGCCTTGCCCTGCAGTTTAGCTTCAGCTAGGGAAAAGGGGGATCTTGGGAAGAACGTTCATGTGTTATTGGTTGGATCCTCCTCCAGCGAGAGGCTCTGTTAACATGGAAGAGGAGTTAAGGGAGAGGAAGGCTGTGTTTGGTGCTCCACATTGAATTGATGCTGGGAACTGTGGGGACAGTGTCAGGTCTGTGTTTGTGCACCAGGACCACAGAGCACGCTGGCTGACCTGGGATTTTGGCTGTAGCAGAGCAGAGAATCGAGCCAGCACCACATCATGGTGGTAGTGTCCTCTCTGCCTGGGGTCTGAGCGGTGGCCAGGACCTGGTGTTCAGGTCTGTCTGATCTCTGTTTTCCTGCAGGTCTTGCCTGTGGTGAGGCTGGAAAGGTGCAGATACCTTCAGCTCTGCCACAACTCTTAGTTAAGCTGTGTCCTGGGTATTCAAAGTGTGGGAGTGTGATGTGACTGCTGTTACACCTGGGTGCCTGGAAGTGGATGGGACCATGGAAGTGGCTGTGAGCCCTGGTGTAGAACACCCAGCAAGTTGTAGGCTTGGGGGAGTGATAAAATTGGATTTCTAGAGGTCTGAGACACCTGATGGTGTCTGTAGGCTCATAAAAATGTGTTTTGCTTCTTTGACCTCTCTCCCCCACCTCTAGGTCTCCACGACAGTCATATGAAGAAGAGGACGGTGGTGTGAGGGAAGCTGAAGTCAAACTGGAGCAGATCCAGCTGGATCAGGAAAGCCCGGAGGAGATCCGGGAGGAGAATGTGGTTACTGGGGAGGAAGAGAGGCTGTGCCAAGAGGAAGAACAGGTCCGAGAGCAGGAGGAAGAGGAGAAAGCTGAGCAAGAGGTGGGATCAGGAGGAGCTGACCTTCTTCTCTCCACAGGGCTGGTGGGAGAGCTGGGGCTGGGGGCTGTTCTCCAAGAACTCAGCTCACCATTGCTGCTTACACTGCTGGGTGTTGAGCCCACGTAGACAAGCTGTCATGGCATAACCTGGGGCTGGTGCCACTCTTGCCTATGACCTTCTTGGGGTCACTGCAGGCAGTCTCTGCCGTCTTGTGAGGGTGGTGTGTTTGCTCCCAGAGCTTGTGGTGGTTTAGTCATGTCCCTGCAATACCAAGAAGGAAAGTGCTGCTATTTCTCCTGTGGTTTTGTGGGCAGTGAGTAGCTCTTCAGGAGAACTCAGATCTAAATTTTACTGCTTGTTTTCCTCTCCCCAGCCTTTATTGCACCTTTGGAGCACTTTGGCTTTATGTATCTCTAAATCTTGCATTGCTCCCAGCTGAAGTTTTCTTTCTTTGCTCTTCTGATGAGGTGTAATTCCTGGTAAACAAGAGAGACAAAGCTGGAACTTGAGTGGTGTGCAAGTCCATTAGGGCGGCTGAGCTGCAAATATCTTCTGTTGTAAATGGATTTTGACTTGCTGAAGCTAGTATGCTTTTTACATTTGAACTGTGTGTGTGACTCTTTCTAGCCCTTTATTCTAAAGGCAGCTGCTCTTTCTCTTTGTGGCCTCTAAATGAGAAATTCACATTTTCCTATCTCAATAGTGGTAAGAAGTCTTTATTAACTGATGCAAGGACCCCTTTCCATATAATTTTGGAACCTTGAACCTGCAAAATTTCTCTGATTTCCCCCCCCTCCCCCATTAACACATGAGCTTTTTCTTCCCGGATGTTTCAAAAGTAAATGAGGTGAACTCAAATTTTCTGCGCTCACGTGTTTGTTTAGTGTAAAGCAGGAAGCCTGGGAGACAGGGGAAAAATCACTTTTGTTGCATAGTAAGCACTTTGACCAGCTCACTTCCTGGCTTGTTCATTTTCTGCACTCAGGAAAAGAAGAGGAGGAGAAATGAAGAAGATGATGAAACACCAGAAAAACGCCAGAAGGCCCCAAGCCCCACCAGCCTGGAAGAGGAGGAGCTGTGCTCTGACCACACCGCTGTGTGCTCCACGAAGGTTTGTGTTCCTGGGGCCCCTGTGGTGGCTATGGCAGCTGTTGCAATAGAGCACCTAGCTAATGGTGAGGAAAGATGACCTAGGGCTTGCGGTAAGATAGGGTGTGAATCCTGTTATCCCACTCCTGCTACAGGCTGGGACAAATCACTTGATCTGTTTCCTTCCTCTTCCTTGGTTGTCAGCCTCCTCTCCTCCTGCTTTGCCTGCTTGAGCTGTTGGAGGCTGTAACTGTCTCTGTCTGTGTATACTTTGCCAATCACCGTAAACGTCTAAAGTTCATTGAGGACTCCAGGGAATATTGTAATACTGAGAAAGATGTCTGTGCTTTAAGCTTGTGTATTTGGTCAAAGATGACACATGAACTTAATCAGAAAATGAAATTTCCCTTCCCAAAAAAACTCCCAAAAACTTGAAGCACTGGAATTTCCCTATCTTATTTAGAATAAACTCAGAAAGTATGACTTTTTTTTTTTAAACAAACTGGGATTCCCGATCTCTGAAGCATTGTGACCTTCCCAATCGCATCTGTCTGCATTGATGCTCTTACGAAACTTCCATTTTTAACATCACCTGAATTGCATCTCATGACTTCTGTTGCATTTGCAATCCTCAGTTCTGTGCATGTGCTTTTAAATACAATAGCTACAGATAAGTGGTTTCTGTAGCAAATGGCTTTTTGTCTTTGTAAGCCCTAAGCTTGTTGATTATAGCAGTGAGGGGAATGGTGAGGAGCCTGGGTAGCCAGTTAATCTGCTGTTGGTGTTATCTTTGCTTTTTTGCATTTATATCTGTGCTATTTGCTTCTTAGTCAATATTTCCTGGACGGGGAGGATTGTATGAGCACTTCCTCTTGCACTAGTAAATAGATTGTAAGAGGAAGGTTTCATCATCTACAACCATCAGATGCTTGCTCTTTATGGAGAAGCCTTTTAAAAATTAAATAGAGAGGGGAAAAAGGGTGGGTTGGGATGCAGGCCATGTGCTGATGTTAGGTTTGAAAAGTGGGGTGGGAGTGGCCAAAGCATATCCCCTGAGTGGGACCGGTGGGGAAATGTGGGAAACACTTCCAGTGCCTTTTATGTGCTGAAATTCTCATCGTTACAACCCCAAAACACACATAGCTTCCTGACCTAAGCTTAACTGCTGCTGCTAGGATTAGCCCATGGAAAGGTTTAGAAACATGGTGTCTGTGTTTTATAATGGTGATGTCAGAGCTCACCAATACACAAAGCCGAATGTAAAGCTGTTCAGGAAAAATATGAGCTTGGGATCTTTCCAAAGGAAGGAGTCTCTTTACACCCCAGCTAGCAGGGCTTTGTGTGAACACTAGGAATTAAACACATTGACCACCAAGAAGGTGTTTTGGCATGGGATCATGCAGCAGAAACACTGCTTGCAGTGGAAAGATGAGAGCATCTGCAGTGGGCAGTGAGCTCCCCTGCCAGCTGTGGCTGGTGGAGGCCAGGTACACATCTGGGGCGGGTGGATGTTGGGCTGCAGTGTGATGGGGTCTTTGGGGTTCAGAGGGCCAGTGTGTCCTGAGGGCTGAAATGGATGTGTGGTGGCAGGGGGGAAGCCTTGTAGCAGCCCCGTATTTGTCCCAGACTGCTTGTGAGCTCTGAGTTTTGAGATTGGCTGAGTGAGCAACTGTGGTTTCTTCTGGCCTTTAGAAAGTGCTTTGGACCAGAGAAATGCATGACTCTTGCTCAAGGAATTGCCCTACAGGGCAGAGGGAGGTGGTCTCCAAATAGCTTAGGAAAAGTTTGTTCCCACCTAGACTGTCATGCTGAGATCTACTGTCACCTACAACCTGTTTCTAGGCCCCTCTGTGTTTAACCTGATGCTCATTTATGACCTTTTGGAAGCACCTGTGGGTGGTTTGCACCTGCACAGCATCTCTCTGGCAGGGTTGGCAAGATTTTTTTTCTGTTGATATCTTATCTGCTTGTGGTTGAGAAGCTGAGACATGAGCAGGGATCTACCCGATTCCCCTTTCAGGTGCTGTTATGCCCCATGAGATGCCAGCCTGCCCATCAATGTCCCAGAGGGATGGGCAATCCAATCTCTGAAGTCATGGCTCAGGCAGCACCGAGCAAAGGAGCAAGCTGGTAGCAGGTGGACAGCCTGCCCAGCAGAAACTGCTGGCTGGAGGGATATCTGTCATGCTGCTGTGTTGGAACCCGGCAGAGTGACCCTCCCTAGCTGATCTCTGTTAGCCAGGGTTGCACTGTCTGTTGGTGGTTGTGCTCTTCTCTAATGGGCCTTGTGCTCTTGGGCACAGCTGTTAAATGTGTCCTCTCTGTGACACTGTCTTGTCTTCTGCTTAGCTAAAATTTAGCGCTAGCATCCTGTAAGTGTCTTAAAATGAGCACTTAGCACTGCTTTTTATCTGCTAACTTGGTAGGTGATGTTTCCTATGACGCAGGCAGCAGTATACAGGGAGAGGAGGCTCCTTGTTACTTGGTTGCTGCTCCTTGGCTCTGTAGGAGCTGTTGTTAAGAAATAGCCTCCCCTTTGACCTGAAAGTGATTTTCTTTCTGTGTTCTTTTTTTCTGGGGCATGAAAGAGCTGTGAGGTTTAGCAACATTTCAGCTTTCCTTTATTCAGTGGTTGTGAAGTGTTTGCTTGCCTTCCTGTATCGGCCAAAGAGTTCTTGCACAGGAGCCTCTTGTGCAAAACTCTCTCTTTCCTGATGGCTTGACCTGAAGGGCTGCCTTGCAGGTGGCTCCATGTGCTGACTTGCCCTGTCTGTGCGCTTCTCTGGTGTGGATAAGCTGCGATGTAACTCATACCTGTGCTCCTCTCATGCTTGGCTCCTCTTCTGCAGGTGTGGCTGGCAGTGCCTCTAGTTTTCCCCCTTGTTTTTCCACACTTGTCACTTTCTCTCCTGTGTCTGGCTAGGAAACCAAGTGTCTGAGATACTTGGTCCTTGAGCAGGTAAAATGGTCTTGGTTGCTGTTTCAGCTGTCACTCAAGCTGCGTGTTGTTGGTTTGCCCCTGAAACTGGTTGGGCTGCTACTGTGCACTGGTGCTTTTGGTTGGGATTCTGCTCGCCTGCCTTGGAAAGGAGAAGGAAAAGGGATGCTCAGTGTGGGAACGTGGGACTGAGTGAGGCATTTCTAACCAAAATCTGGGTGAGGGAGCAGGGAAGAGAAAAGTTTGAACTATGGTCAGCCAAGGTGACCTACATCCATCTGAGGTCCGTGGAGAAAAGTAATATCTTTGTCTTCTCTCTCCCACTTTAGATCACGGACAGAACTGAGTCACTGAACCCTAGGGTTGATGTGGGCCCTGGAGTAAAGCAGGTCCCTTCCTCCAAATGGAAGATGCCAGAGGGCCCTGCTGTGGGTATGGGCAGGAGTGACAGGCTGCCTGTAGCCCTCAAAGTCCTTCCTTCTGCCTGAGGTACTGGGGGATCACCTTAATCCTCTTCTTGTTTCTCCAGTAACAGCATAAAGAAGACCCAGCCTCCCCTCCCTGTGTCGAAGATTGATGACAGGCTGGAGCAGTACACACAGGCTATTGAGGTGGGCTGCTGTGTAGTTTCTCTGTCCCCACTCTCCAAGGAGCCCTCTTTGCTGGGCGTTGCTCTCCCACCGTGCCTCTTAGTTGTACCATCTGGGACGTGACAACTGAATCATCTCCCTTGGATGGGAGCAGCCCTTTCTCCTGTCTGTATCTCCCTTCACAGCATAAAGTAGGTTTCTTTAGCAAGCTGCCCCATCCTTGTTTCCTCAAGGGTGGGAGCATCTGGCAGGAACTAGCAAGACCCTACAAGTTCCCTTTTACAACCTCTCATACCTGAGGACCTCCAATTACAGCGGGGAAAAAAAAAAGCACACTCTCCCCGACAGTGATCTTTCTCCGTTTGTTTTCCAGACATCCACAAAGGCTCCAAAACCTGTCCGACAGCCCTCTCTCGACCTTCCCACCACGAGCATGATGGTAGCCAGCACAAAAAGCCTCTGGGAGACCGGAGAGGTCGCAGCTCAGTCTGCTGTGAAGTCCCTGCCCTGTAAGGTACGGCACTCGCAGGACTTGCCTTGCTTATGCAGAGGAAGAGGGGCTGGCCTCTGGGCACAACTTGCATTACACTTGCGTTAGCCTGTTGGCATGGCTCATTGGTGGTGCCCACCAGCTCCAAAGACATCTATATTAGAGATCCAATCTCCTTTGTCAGGCTACAAGGCCTTGTGCCTCAGAGCTTCGTTTCATCTCTGCTAGGGTCCTGAATTGTTCCTTGGTGGTACAGCTAGGAAGGCCTCTGTGATGCCGGTTGAGGCTCTGCTTTGAAATGGGCATAAATTCAGCTGGTGTGGAAAATGTGTATGTCTTCTGCAGGTGCTAGGACTGAGCTCCAGTTGTTGAGTACAATGTTGGATCTAGTACAAAGATGATAAATCTTGTAAAATTGGAAAATACAGAGAGTATTATGTATTGCTCTCAATTTCACTTTCTGGTCATTGTGAGCGAGGCTGATTCTGTAACACATGGGTTGCAAATCTGTGTTTATGTGAGCAAAATTCCTTCCACATAAAAAAAGCCTTGATGTTAGCATGTCTTAAATAGTTAACAAACTTAAGAAAATAAACATCTTGGATCTCTGATCCAGGCTCTTGTTGAAGAGAGTAAGAGAAGAAAACATAGGATATCCTGGGAATAAGAAGACGTTTTCACAGTCATGGGTTTTAGCTGCAGCTGTCACAGGTCAGATGATGTGATATTATAAATAAAAAAGGTCAGGTGTGTGGGTTTGAAAGGGACATGAACAAAGGCATGTTCAGCAGCGTTAGCAGTGAAGGGTAATGAGAACATCATCTTCTCAGGATATTGTGGCTGGAGACATCGTGAGTAAAAGAAGCCTTTGGGAACAGAAGGGCAATCCCAAATCCGAGACCAACATCAAGGTGAGTTAGTATCTGTGCGAGTATGAGACCACATGCTCTGCTGTGGAAAAGAAAAGAGCTCTTAGCTGGGTTGGAAGTATTGAGAAGATGGTGATGTTCTTTCTGTAGGGACAAGGGCTGCCTGTATCTATCAATGCAATTGCATACCTAAGAGCTCTTCCTAACAGTGAGCTGCTATCGCTTCAGCCCTAGTAAAAATGGGGGCAAAAATCATTTTATAACCAGTAATACTGAAGGGTCTCTTGAATAGCATGTTGTTCTCAGGCCACGGGTTGGGAGCCCCAGCCTTCTAGGCTAAAATTGAACTGCAAATGTGAGTTACTTTGCTCTTGTTATGCTTTTTAATCTTGAGAGTAAAGAAAACATGCAAAATTAAGTGGAACTGAACCTAAGACAGTATCAACACTTGGGGTTTTGTGCCTACTGGTACATTTGTGGGAATGCCTATTGAAATACAGCAGGCAGCTGCTGCTTGAACTGTCCAGGCTGGGAGAGGAAGATCAAAGCATCTTGTCTGTTCCTGGATTGGTACTGCTGCCAGTATGTGGTAAATGAAAGCGCCTCTTGCCAGTTGGTGAAACCAACCCTGGCTTGGGGGCTGCAGCTCTTAGATGACCGCTCCCTTGCGATGCCTGGCATTGCATCTTCCCTTTCCTATTACACATCCCTTGCTTGCTGTGTTACCTTACACTTATTGAAAGCGGTGGTCAGTCTGCACAAAGAGTTTACGTGGAAGGGGCAAGAAGGGAGTAGAGAGTAGGCTGTCTCCAAGCCCTCTGGGATTACGGACAACTGTATCGCATGCTCCTCTGGCTTCAGTTATTTGATCTTGACTGCCTATTTGAGGGGGAAAAATGCTGACTTTGGCTCTTTCTTTCTCTCCTGTTCAGTCCACTCCTTCTGGCAAAAAGTATAAATTTGTTGCAACAGGCCATGGCCAGTACAAGAAGGTGTTGATAGATGATGCTGCAGAGCAATAGCATGCCTGGAGAACTCATTAACCAGGTAGGTGGGGTATGACCTTGCACCGTGTAACAAACTCCTGGCGCTGTTCTGGCAGGATGTTGGGGTTATTTCTGCCAGCTACACTTTGGGTGAGTTGGAAGGCACTGTATGATAACAGCTGGAGCCTTGCTTCTGGGCAAACCCCTGACTTTCTGAGCCGGAAGGGAGTGGGTACGCAGTGGGGGTTTGTTTTGGTCTTTGACTTTCTGATGCTGCTAGGAAGCTGGATACCTGTGTTAGTTTAATCTGCAGAATAAGTTCCTTAGTTACTGCTGTTTGAGTGAAGATGCGTTTGCCTTTGCTAGTTCAAGGGAACAGCCTATCTGCTGTTTTTTCTTATGCTCTCATGTTGCAAGGAGAAGTAGATAGCTGGAGGTCATTCTAGCTGAGCATGGGGGCTAATGTACTCCTGAAATTCAGATGTTTCTGGGGTCTAATTCCCTGATTTACTGAATTAATCAGGGGAAAAACTTTTAATGGTTTCACTAACCTCTTGGAACCAGTCCATAATAGGGTTCTAGTAGGGAGCACACAAACGTCTGCTGTGCTGGGTAGACCAACAGAGCAGAAAGGACCGTCCTCTGATGTGTAGCAAGGGGGAAGGCGGAGACGGGTTGCTGTCTCTGTGCCCTCTTGAAATGGTCTTTGGATCTCATGCTCGTATTGTGTTTATGTTAATAGATATCCTGGTGTTATCTTGAGTGGATGATAGTAGAGGGTTGCAGCAATAAGGAGGAATGGCGTAGAGGGAGGTGATAACTGGTTGGATCCAACTGGGCAGCATCTGGCACTGAGAGAGGAGAGGAAGTTGTTGGGGGTGAAAACAAGCTCATTCTCTTTTTTCCTACTATAAAAAAGAAGCTTTATTTCATAGCCAAGCTTATAAATAGCTCTGTCTGCTACAAAACACCTTTTGTTTCTGAATTCTTCTGGGGACTGTGTTCCTTCTTTTTTTCTAATCCCCCCCCCCCCCCCCTCAAGGAGCTGGCTTCTGAGTGCAGCATATTGTCTTGTTTGTTCTTTTTCCTTTTGTGGTGCCCATTTAGAAGAGAAGCTCTCTTGAATGCCACTTTGAGATGGGCAGTAGTACAAACCCAAGCCTGCCCAAAGCTATGTTTTTTAGATGTAAAGAAGGAGGAGCCCACTGGACTTGTATCCTCAACTTGCTTCTCTGCCTGTGGCTTTCAGAAACCTATTTTAAGGTATCCTCTCTGATCAGTCCTCTTCTTTTTCCTGAAGTCTGTTTCGATGCACCGGGTGGGATCCTACTGAGCTTCAATTCTTTATAGCAAACAGGTTTTGCTAGGTTGTCAGCAAGTTTTGTTTGCCCTACCTGAGCTTCTGCAAGCAGCTCAAAGGAAAGTGCCCTCAGCTCTGATCTTTTTCCAGCATCCTTTCTTAAAAGGCCAGTGACTGTCATGGGATGTCCTCTAGGATCCACCCAGTACTCCAAACAACCACTGCACAGCACTGTTGCCCTATGGGCTCATTCACAAGGAAGGTTTTTTTGACTGTGAATAGCAAAATGACTGCGATAGCTTGGAGGATCTTGGCTTGTTTCTGTTCTTGAGTTTTTAGCTGGCTGTTTTGTGTGCTGAGAGGTCCCTGCTCCCCAGCTCCTCTCCACCGCCCTGAACTACGTTTGTCCTTTTTCCCTACTGCCAGATCCCTTCACAGTTGCCTTTTTGTTCCCAAACCCTTCTGGCTCACCCCCATGTCACTCGCTCAACACCACCTTATCAGCTTTCTAGCTGCTTGAGCACAGGTACAGTTTTTCCTCCTCTCCTCCTTTCCTGAGCTGCAGGACCTCTGAGCAGGCTGTGGAGCAAGAGGTTTTCTGAAAGTGGCAATTTGGGCTCTTACCAACTGCCATGAAGCTCTTTGACATTGAAAAACAACCAAACTGTGTCCAGCAGCGTTCCCCTTCCCTCGCTCAACATGGTGGGACGTGCTGCAATGGCTCCCAATGCAGAACCACTGGTGTAACTCTCCTCTTGCCTCCAGGCATCTGTTCTCTCCTCTGCAATGCTCTCCTGCCAGGGTCTGTCTCTGCAGGACTCCCCATGCCTGCTGTATGCCTCTGCCCTTTACTCGTGGGGCAGAAGGGCTAAACCACGCAGCCAGACCTGGTTTCCTCTGCTTCCCACTGCAGGCATTGCTCTCCCCACTGGCGATTCTCCATCCTCCATCCCTGTGCAGTGGGGCTGGGTTGTGGATGCAGCCTGGAGGGAAGCCCAGCAGATGCAAGACATAAGCCATTCCTCATCGCCGTGTGTGAGTTGCTGGTTTGTTCTGGGTGGTTGTCCTTGCTGCAGGACAAAGTGGATTAAAGCGCAACTGCTTCTGAAACCATCTTCTCTGGCCAGATTCACTTAGTCTCCCAAGTGTAATCAATATTGGCTGTTCTGCTTCATGCTAATGCTCTGGATCTTGTGAATGCAGACTAATGCAGACTCTTGTGCATAGCCATCCAATTATCTGTGCTACAGTAAGGTGCCATTTTATTGCTGTGCGGTAAGGTCATCTTTATCTGCATTAGGCATTCTACATGTTTTAAGCTGCACTCTTTTTGATTTTGTGTTGCTGCGTGGATCTTTCTCTATAGCCTTCTCTTGCAGCATGTTGAATTATCCTGCAAAGGCTTACCTGGGATCCACTCGTGATTACTGGTGCATTTCCAACCTACCTCTTTTCAGCTTTTTCCTGGAATACTGGGGGGGTCAGAGAAATCCAAATTTTAGATACTTGGGTTATTCTTCCTTCTCATTTTTTTTCCTTGGAATAGGGAAGGGGTTACAAAACAGAGGATAAGACCAGTAAAGTGAAAACTTCAGTGATGGTTTGATTATAACTGAGCTCTTCTGATAGCATCATTGCAAAATTGGAATACTTCAAAAAGGCAAAAGGGGCTTGATTTTATTTCTAAGACTGTTCACAGTTTCGCTTGGGGAAATTTTGGTCAGCTCCATATCCTCTGCACATGAAGAGAATGTAAAAAGCTGTGTATCGAGTTTCTTATTTGGACTAAACATAGCAATCCTATATTAGCTGTGTAGGAATATGCCAGCATATGACAAAGCATATGACAAAGTCCCTTGAGAAACAGAAATAGCTGATCTCCAGCTTTCACACTTGTAAGATTGGTGGTGATGGAGATGCACAGGGTGACTGTAATGCTGGAAAGCACAGTTATCCCTGTGGATGGACAGAGTTGTGGATTTTGTTTTAAATACCCTTTTTTCAGGACATCAGTCACCAATAGGTATGCAACTATTATGATGTTGCCTCTGAAAACAAGACTACATGTGGTTAGCAGAAACCCCCAGAAAACAGCACCTTGTTAAATACAGAGTTGGATACCCACATGCTGAAGCAGGCTCTTGCTGGTTATCATGAAAACACTAACCCCCAGCTGTATTAAAGCACTGTAAAATACATAACAGAACTTGATTACTGCAACAAAGTTAGTCTTCTGTGCACTATGATTTAGTAGACTGACCCAGGAGGACATCAAATGATGATGTCCAGTGTTTTAGGCAGGGGAACTGCTATGTGAGAGCAGGATGGATATCTTATGCTGTCCCTTGTCTGTGCCTTGGGTGAAAGGATGAGTTTCCACCTTATTCTCAGCAAATGCGTGTGAGGTGCCCTCCACAGCACTTTCAGTGGAGAAGCTAAAGAGATGTGTACCCTCTTTGAGTTCAGTTTCTAAGAATCCCTAGAGGAGATGTGGAGCAACCCAGATTCCTTCATGTTGTCTCATCTACAACTGCTTTTATTTCTAGGATTTCTCTTGGTCTTAAATAAACACAATAAAATAAATTCAGATTCCATCATCCTCCTCTAAATTGGGCTTTTTCTACAGGCAATTTGTCCTTCTTCACTGTGTGCCTCCCCTCTCTTCCCTGTATTACTGCATACAGTGGTTGTTGTTGGCTTTTTTAAAACAGGAGCATGTTTGCTTTCCTGGCTCATGACCTGTGGATGTGGTATGTTATGCATTTAAGCTTGTCTACATATGGAGAGTAACCCTTAAACCCACAGCATGAGGCTGCTGGCTTGCAGGGGTTTTATTTAATTTTATTTTTTTCCTTACACTTGGCTCTGTCGGGGCAGTAAACCTAGACATAGGTGCTCTCTTGCTCGGTGCCCTGTAGGAACCTCCAGAGGTGCAGGCCTGGTGGAGCAGCCTGGCTTCAGTTGACTGACCATCCTGATGCTGTTCTGTTAAAGCTCTTGGTGTGCTCCTCAGCCACTTTGGGTCTAAACTGGCCCACCTCGAACATGGTGCTGATCTTTGTCATGGGTTTGGCAGCCAGTTCCTTCAGTTTCCGGGCATCGAAGCGTGGCTTATGTAGAAGAATGGGTAAGCGGCGGGGAAGAAAGACGCTTTCTTCCTTCTGCAGCTTCTTCTCTTCTGCTTGCTGCTTCCTCTCTTTGTTGACTGTCATCTGGTATAAAATAGCATCCCACATTCTTGTGGCCCTTGATTTAAACAGCCTGCAGTCCTGACTGATGATTACTTGAGAGCTGTCCTTCTCCTTGCTCCCTTCTTCCTGTCCCAGCTTTTCTGGCTCGGGCTCTGGGAAGTTGGGTGCTTCTGGCTGCACCATCAAGTGCTTTCTGAGGCGATGCCAGCCACCAGCATTGGCTCCAGGACGTCTTGCTGCTTCTACTGATGGTAGTGCTGGCTCAGCTTTGAGGGGAGGGCTGGTGTTTGGTAAGCTGGGTGTCAAATGAGGTTGAATGACATGTTCTGCCTTGGTGTCTGTGGAGGTGGCCCCCATACTGTCAGCTTGTGCTGGAATTGCTGTCTCTGGGTGTGCTTGCCTCCAAGGAGTGCTGGGTGTTGATGGTTTTAGGATGTCTCCATCTTGCTTGGGTAATTCAGGAGCTCTCTCTGATCCAGATATTTCTGTGTCACTTCCATGGGTCGTTGGCTTATTGGCATGGGCATTGGAGGTGCTGGGCTTGGGTGAAGGGGCCTTGATGGACTCTTCAGTAGGAGCAGGCTTGGGCTCCTTAGGAGGCTCTGCCTCTGCAGCAGAAAGGAGGGGAGGTTCCAGTGTGGGAGCCGTGGCCTTGCTGTCATTGAGCGGGGTGGGTATCTGCCCTGGAGATGGTTCAGAGCAGCTTGTTTCAGCTGCTGGAGAAGAAGGCCTTTTGTCTTCATGGCTGATGGTTGCTTGGGTCTGATTTGATGTGGGTGTCTTAGCCCTGGGTGGCTTGACACTGTGGAAATAGGTGTGCACCTTGGTGACATAGGTAACCTCTGGTGCCCTTTCTTTACTGGGCATACTGGAAGGAGGAAGCTGGGGGAAAACAAATACAGATGGGTCACCTGGAGAGAGAAGGTGGGTGTCCGTGCCTTCAGGCTGCTGTGGAGTCTCAGGAGCACCTGGCTTGTGTAGCATGAGCATGGCCGGGGAGGTCGTGAGCCTGAGGTGTTCAGCAATGCGCCTCTGCTCAGTGACCTTCAGTGTGAAAGGCTTGCTCTTTCGGAAAGGGGAGGGGACACGATCGGTGGTGGGCTTGACAGAGAGGCAGGTCGGAAGGCTGGCAGAGGGGGGTGCTGTGGTTTTGGGGGTCTCTGCTGTGGGAGTGCTTTCATTGTGCTCTAGGTCGGGGCTGGCCTCGTTCACGGGTGAGAGGCTGGACCGAAAGGACTTGGCTTGCTCTGAAACTAGGATGGCGTTTTTCTTGGCTGCCTTCTTCAGCAGCCGCTGGAGCCGCAGGTTGTCCTTCCCAGGCTTTGGTAGGGTGGGAGGGGGAGAAAGATGGTGGCGGATGGGAGCAGGCTGGATGGAGGATGATACTGTTATCAGCATTGTCATCTCCTGGAAGAAAACACAAAGCTTAGAGTTGGCATGGGCTTAGCCCTGGGCTAGACTCTGAAGTATTCATATGTAAGGCCTCTTCTTCCTCTCTCCAAAAGCTATGAGTATGGAGTCAGTATCATGTGAGAAGAGCATCAGTCTTGGTTTCCTTAGTCTCCCCAAGGAGCTAGGTCTCCAACCAAGCCTCAGCCAGTCTCGAGAGTGGTGCAGCAGGGCAAGAGATGTACTGGGATGTACTGGGAGGAAGCTGTATTGCCAAACCTGGAGCCCTCCTGCTCCTGGTGTTAGCGCAAAATCCAGTGAGAGCTCTTTGGGACCCCAGATGTTCATGTCTTGGCAAGTCCTAACAGGATTTGGAAGGCAATGTCAAGAGAAACAGAGCAGGTCTGAAATTTTGAAGCTTTGAAACATTCTCCAGAGGCACAAATCAGGAACATTTCATGGCTTTCCAAATTCCAGTTATTAATACTCTGATACAATGTTATGTACAACAGAACAGCCATAAACTACATGTGTCATTTGAGTCAAAGTCAACACTGGCCTTGATTGATTTCAGCTGGCAGAAAGACATCCCTGTGTCCTGGTTTCGGCAGGGATGGAGTTAATTTCCTTCTTCACTGCATCAAGCACAGCGGCAATCTTGTCTTTCTGCACTCAATTTAAGATAAAACCTAGTTTTCTCTTTCCCGTGGGGAGTATTGCCACTGTCCTCCCTGTATCACCCATTCTTCAGTGAAACAGAAATGGGTTGTGGTCGGAGTTGGGTCTTATCCCCAATGGCAATTGCAGCTGGACCCCCTTTGGCCAACACTATGCTGCTCCTGGGTGGATGCACAACTGCTTTTCCCACTCTCTGTTGCTAACTCACCACCATCTCCTCTTCTTTCTGATGAGCACCGGTCAGATTTCCTGTAGTCGAGCTAAGAGTCTGTGTTGGGGATAGAAAGATAAAACTAGTCTCAGTTCTCCTATTTCTCTTCCTGAGCAAGGCTGGGGAACACCAAGCACCCAGCCTCTGACCTGCCATGACTCTTTGGCAGCCCCTAAAAAGAAATCTGACTCTGCCCTGGCTCTCACTTGGCACAGAGTGGCTGAGTTTTGCTATGAAATGAGGCATAAATCACTGAGCCCCTTAATCCCTGGTGCTGGATGCAACGGAGCATCCTGAAATGAGGAAGAGGCGATGGGGTGATGTCAGGGTTGCTCAGAGGGGCTATTGCATGTGCTCTGCTCAGTTCCTGGTGGCTCCCAACCCATTCTGGTTACTGTGGGTGTGTAGTGTGATACCTACTGTGTGGGAAAATTATCCTGAATAAAGCGCAGAACAGCTATTTGAGCTTAAGTGCCCGGTGTTGTCTTTGGGCTTGTATTGCTGCTGTCAGCACTGGGCTGGGAAGCTGACCTGTACCGAGCAAGCAGGTGGTGTATCTGACAAAACTGGTTGTGGATGGGGGAAAGAAGGATGACTCTTCAAAAAAAAAAAAAAAAAAAAAAAAAAAGCAGCAGCAAATGAAAGCACTGAAGAGGTGGCATGTGGGGCATAAAGCCTTCAAGGTCCAGCCCTCACCATGGTGGACGAGCTGTCCTCCAGAGCAGAGGCTGTGGTGGGGGCAGGATCTGGGCAGTGTCTAGCAAGTAGTACACTGCTATCAACTGATGCATTTATTTCGGCTGCAGGCATGAGAAACCTCCCACTGTTTTGGCGAGGGGCTCGGAGGGGATTTGTGCCAGCTGGGGATGACAACTGTTGGGCATTCCCAGTGGCTTATCAGCTTCATGCCTTAGGCACAAAGCTGGGATTAAGACTTGCTCTATTCCAAGAGCTACTCTTAGAAACAAGTTTGCACCAGCCCAAAAAAAGGCTGAGAGCCCATTCCTGCATCATATACCTGCTCTCTTCCCCAGCCCTGTGAATATTCTAGATTCTTCTGGGTTAGAAAGCCAAAATGCCTCAGTTGAAGTGCATACTTGCTCTTGTGCAACACTACTCTGGTTCTGTTTGTATAGGAATTGGTAATTGCTTGGGTGATTTTTATCTGCTGCAAGGTGAGCTATACATGCACCTGATGTTAGGATTGATTGTGGCATGATTTCATCTGCCTCTGTTTAATGTGGTCCCATGGACAGCCTGTACTACAAGATGAGCTGTGGTCTAGCAGCACTGGTAAGCCAGAATTATAAGGTTGACCTGCCTCAGGTTTGTTGTGTTGGGAATACTAAAGAGGCAGGGCAGTGAACTTCCCAACTACTGATCAGCTCTTTGAGTGTTTTCCTTGTCCTACGGACTGCTGCACCCCAGAAAAATGCAGCTTCCCACATGGGTCAGAGCAGGATCTTGCCTGGGATTTGCTGCAAACTGCCAGATGCTACTGACGAGGGCATGGGGGTTCTTGGGGTGGGAAGTTTAGATATAATCTGCATGCACCAGGGAAACCTCCCCTCTGTTCCCAAAGTTAGAGGCTGCTTTGTGCCCTATAATCTCAAGATTTGTGGTCTGTTACAGTAGCCTGTGCTCTTAAAATCACTCTTGCTACTATCTCAGCATCCCTCTGACTTGAAACCTGCTGTGCTGTGGGTCTTGGAGACCTTGTGGGTGGTAACTTCCACAGCATGTGACTCTGCCAGAGTTTGTGTCTTTGACTAGTGAGGCAGAGAGGTGCTAAGAAGACACCAAAAGGAAATCAGATCTTAATTTATTTGCCTTCCCTGTCATGCTTGGCTTTGTTTGAGTCTCCTTCAGAGCTTTGTGTGCTCAGGAGTAATTCTGCAACAAGCAAGATTTGTGAGCATCTTCCCCCTTGCCATGTAATGAAGCAAAAGCAAAGGGACAGATGGACTTGCTTTATTGCCAGCGGAAAGGCCAGATCTGAAAACCCAGGGACAATAGGGGAAAATACCGCCTGAGAAACTTGGGTGGGTTTGTGATAAGCTGGAAGGAAATTGAGCTAGAAGCTGAGCCAAGAGGCTTTCAAAGGGTTAGGTTTCCCTGCTGCTGGTTGAGTGCCTGTGGGTGGAGGGAGGTCACCCACCCTTGGACCCCAACTTGTTCTCCTGGACTCTGCTCCATCTGCAATCAACCCCAAACTGGGAATGGTGGGGACAGTGTCAGCATGGAGGAGTCATTTATCATGCAATGGAAAAGTCATTTGTGCGCTGGAGTCCCTCGGCTGCACCAGCTGTCATGCAGGGAGCAGATCGAGAGCTGAAGGAACCTGATACTACTGCAGATGGTCCCAAGCGGAGAGCTGCGGCTGCCAGGGCTGTAGGAACACACTCTCCACTTTAGTGGCTTTCTTGGGCTTGAAGGAAACTTCCTGATCTGCTCCTTGGGAAGAGATGGCTGGGCAGG